CCATTTTATATTTATTATAATTGGTTTAATTGTTTAAAATCTATTTATCTATTTTTAAATACAATTCATAATCATCAACAATGGTTAATAAATATTCAAGGTTTTCAATTAATTCGTCCAACATCATCATTATTTGAAAATCAATTATATCAACTTCGTTGTCGAATATTTGAAGAATTAAAAAAACATTTTCTATATTCTCGTCAAATAGCTCGACAATATTCAATTCAGAATGAACAATTAATTTGTTATATTGATCTTAATGAATTTGGTTTATTAATAAATGAAAAAGATAATTATGATTTTGATAAAATAACAAATCAATATGATCAAACATCAATTAATTCATTATTTAAATTATGTCATTTACAAATAAATGAATGTATTCAATTAATACATATTAATCGTCCAAAATCATATTCGATATTTTATAATTATAATAAATTCTTATTAAAATCTATAGAAAATTTAAATAAAATAAAACAAAATTGTTCAATAATGATTAATTCTATTGATAATGAAAAAATTTCATCATCAAAAAAATTAATATCATCTTATTTTTTACTTCGTTCGAATTGTGAACAATTATTTGAAATGAATGAAAATAATTATTTAAATAATGAACAATTAAAACGAATTATTCAAGATCTTAAAACTGTTATTTATTTGCTTGAAGGTATACAAATGGCCATGTTATCATTGCATAGATCTTTATAAAGAAAAAAAAAAACTTTCAAAAGAAAAGAGTAACTTAGATACTTACAATAAAGAAAAGAAATAATTTTTTTAATGATGAATACATTTGAGAATTATTTAAAAAGATTTCTTGTTCATTTTTTGGAAAGATTTTTTTCATATAATTGTACCATTGAATATCAAGAATATAATTGAAAATATCTCGGAATAATAAATGAATATTTAGAAATGATAAATAATCAAGAATATTTATTTTTTGATCAAGAATTTCAATTGATTCAATTGGTTGTTGAATATTTGTTGTTATTATTGTACTTGTCGAGGATAGATTATATTCAGCCATAAGATCAGCTACAGGGCCCATAAGTGGATCAATATCTTCATCTGAATCGTCCATTGTTAAATATTTTTGATTAATCAAAAACTAAATTGTAGAAAAGAACAATAAAATTTTCATTTATATAAATGCATATTAAATATATGAATATTTCATCTATACCGTTACTTAGAAATTGAAAAAAATCAATCTAAAACTAATAACCATTGTTATTATTTAACAAAAATCAATGCTTTACAATAATTTTTAAACATAACAACTAATTTCATTTTATCTGACATAATTATAGAGAATATACAATAAAAAGAAAAGAAAAAACAAATAGAATTTAATATATCTGACATAATAGAAAGATTTATTTGACATCAAGAATTTGTAAATGATCGTAGAGTTCTTCTGCAAAGAAAAAAAATAAATTTGATTTAAATGAAAAACAAATAAAGAAAACATACGTAGTCTTTCAACAATAGGTGCTGTTATTTTCAAATCTTTTTTCTTCTGTTTTAACCATAAGATATGTTCATCATGTAATTTATCTAATTCTTTAATTAATTTTATTTTATTATTATGATTTTCTATTTCATCTTCATCTTCATCATCATCAGAATTTCTATAATGATAATATTTATTAATTTGTTGTTGAATAAGTTCATCAAATGATAATGAATTTATATTAATATCTAATTTCGATAGATGTTCTTGTTGTAAACGTTTTAATTCTTCAACATCACGTCGATAAACTTTAGCTAATTGTGATTGATCAAATATAAACCATGATAAATGTACACGAAGTTCATCTTCTTTATTAATATAATTTGTTTCTAATAATTCAAAACGAGATAATAATTCAACAATACCAGATTTAATCTAATAGATTTATTTAAAAAAAATAAAACAAAATTGTTCAATAATGATTAATTCTATTGATAATGAAAAAATTTCATCATCAAAAAAATTAATATCATCTTATTTTTTACTTCGTTCGAATTGTGAACAATTATTTGAAATGAATGAAAATAATTATTTAAATAATGAACAATTAAAACGAATTATTCAAGATCTTAAAACTGTTATTTATTTGCTTGANAAAAAAAAAAAAACGAATTATTTGTTTTTTTTTTTTTCTTATTACGAAAAATATATATTACTCGATCAAATTCTTTTTTTAATTCAATTGTTAATGCTTTTTTTTCTTCAGTTCGTCGTTCAAGATCGACAATTTTTGTTGCAATTAAACGAATTTCTTGTTGAAAACGACTTAATTCAGTTTGTTGAGCTGCACGACGTTGACCATGTTTAGCAGCTGATTTCCATTCACGTTCAGCAGCTTGAAGTTCTTCAATTTTCTAATATGAACAAAAAAAAATAATCTTTTTTTGTTCATAATAATAAAAATAATTCATTTACTTGTTTAGATTCTTGTTCAAGATCACGATGACGTTGTGTCAATAGAATTTCTTGTGCAGTTATTTCTTTTGTTAAATTTTCAATAGCTATTTGTGCTTGTTTAACAGAATCATTATTTATATTTGATGTTGTATCACCAATTATATCACTTAGATCAAAATCAACAGCTGATGGTGCTGGTCGAGGTGCTTTATGTTTATAAGCACTAAGTAATATTTGATATTTACCAAGCCATTCTTGTAACTAAATATTATTAAAAAAAAAATATAAATGTATTATAATGAAATACGTCGAGAAGTTGATCAGATCGATTTTCGTAACTTCTATAGTTCGAGTAAACCTTCCTGCAAACTAAAAGATCGTGATCCTTTAGTGGCGGGTAAGATTTTGCCAACTAACGAGAGAATCTTTTGAGCTTTCTTCTTCTGATTTGTTTGTTTCTTTCTATAGATACTACATAGTATTCTAATAAAAACCCGAAAAAGGATTTCAGTTCCTATTGATATGTGACTTAGCTATCGAACGTTTTTCTAGAGATTCAGGATCTTTGGAAAATTCATTTTTAAAAATTTTGATCTGAAACTTTGCATTTATAGAGAATTCAACTAAACTTAGACAAATATCAGTAGGAATCCGAGTTCTTTTAGGGTTTTTATTAGAAAAATTATGCAGTATCTATAGACAAAAAGTCATTGAAACTGGAAAAAAGCTGCTGAACTTTTACTCAAAAAACCCAAATTTTAAGACGCCGATCTCTCTAAAATTCTCCGGTTTTCTATTCCGAAGAGAAAGTTTACAAGAATGCCAATTCTACTGTTCAGCTCTAACTTTACATATTTAATTTTGAGGAAAAAGTCGAACCAAGAAAAAGAAGCATATTAATTTTCATTTATATCTACGTCATTTGATTATGCATTCAAAGCTAATATTTGATGCAAAAAAAGAAGTACCCAAAATTTCCCTATGTAGTAATGAATGAATCTTTTAAATATATTGTTTATGTAAAGTGTTACAGAAAATGAAAGATAAATACAGTTCGTAAAACAGCAAGGTCTACTCAACTCTATAGACAAATAGTTAACTTTCGTTAATTATTTTTATCTGTATTGTATCGTCTGTTTTATTGCTTAAATACAATTGTTTGATGTAAGAAGATACCTTAATTCATTGTCTAATTCAGATCTAAAACTTATAATAATCGATTCCGAAAGATTCTTATTGATCTGATTCTGATTTCAAATTTTTCTTACATAATAAAAGAATGATAAACTCTATAAATTTGAATGATGCAATTCTACTGATTTAATTATTGATGTCGTAATTTCTATAAATGAGCATAGGTCACTAAGCTCTAATTTTGAATATTTTATTGATTCGACTTCAATTCACTAATGTCTATCGATTAATATGAAAATCTAAGATTTTTACTGACTAAAAATTTTCAAATTAACTTACTTCTTTAACAAGTCGTTTATGTTCATTAGCTGCTGTTGTATGTAATTGTTGTTCAAGAAGTAATGTAGATAGAAGAACTTCATGTTGTTGTTTAAGTTCATTATTTGAACGAACATGACGTTGTAATTCAACATCAGTTTGTTGATTAAAAAGTTTATCGGATAATGATTGATTACGATCAACTAAATGTTTTTTATCCATTTCTTAAATAATAGAAGAAAATTAAAACAATAGAAAACATTTTTTTTTTGTTTATTTTACAAAAATACCTTTTTGTTCAACAATTTGTGTTAATTCGATTAATTTTGATTGTTCATCTGATACTTCTTCTTGTTTTCGAGTGTATTCAATAATGTCATTTTCATTTGTTGTTGTCAATGTTGTACAATCATTTTCGAGTTCATTACGATTTATTTTTAATTCTTCAAACTATAATAAAACATTTCAATAAAAAAGGCAGAAGCGCATAAAAGATCAAATCGGCTTACTATTACAATCTAAATATGAGAATAAGCAAACAAGACAAAATTTATAGTTCTTTCATAAAACTTCAATTTTTATGTATAAACAACCAAATGATTATTTATTTGTACGATATATAATTATATCTGATATATTGGTTGACACTAATAACATATTTCAGCTAGTGACCTGCAAATTGGTCACAAGTCACAGTCACGTGTAAGCATAACTAAAATACTATGATGGCGTAAGTTTCTAATTTCAACATATATTTTTCGAAGTCAAAAAGAATTTTGCCACTTGAAAAATTCCTTAGAATAGGCACAATTTAGTATCTTTTGTTCAATACTTCGAAGATTTCTATGAGAAGTTCAATGCAAATGAAGACTAATATGATATTTGAAATCAACATGAAAAACTGATTTGATCTATATACAATACAAAAAATTTCTATAAACTTGTTTTTTTTTTTCATTGAAAATCGTATTTTTATTTTCTCGATATCTGCTACCTAATAACTTTAAACTTTTTCCGATGAAACAAAAAAAAAAAAACAAAGTTCTAGAAATTCATTGAATTGGGCATCGATCAACTCAATTTATTTTCTATTGATTTTGAACATCAAATCGAACTAATCGACATATTCTCAATAAGGATCAAAAAAGACACAAAATTGCGCCTATGCTCAGGAGTTTTTCAAGGGGCTATCAAATGAGCAACATCAAAGTTCCAATTATTTCATTTACAGTGGTCAACCAATACATCAGATCTATATCACGTTAAATCAAACAATCAATTGTTAATTTATATATGGGATTCAAGTCTTATCAATATCCTGCAATTGAGTCGGGTTCGAATTTGATACCATACCCGGCAATATATTAGATTTCCATGTTTTAAAAACTCATCTAAAGATGATGAGAAATCATATGACGAAGTCATTGAATACATGGAAAGGAAAATAAATTATCAAACAGATGAATATCTATTATCATGATGAAACAGTATATTCACTATTATAATGTTTGACATCAACATCGAGTTCCATTCCAACGTTATCAGCAACAAACAAACATATACTTAGTGAAATTGATTAGATTTTAGAGGATCTTTTCTTTTTGTTGATGTTTATGGAAGAAAGGAGAGGTTTGAAAACTATACTATAACTAAGAAAGTATCTGCCGAGTCAGAAAAGTCTCACCCGTGCCGAATACTAGCCTCATCAAAAATAGCTATCCATTGAATCCATCATGATAGGACAAATTATTAGTATAATATACGAAAAAATGTGTTACTTATTTGATAACTGTTAGATTTCTAAATTTAGTCGTAAAACTAATACCAAAATGTCAATCTCAAC